ACCATTTTTGCTCCATTGTCGTTAAAAGTCCTTTTTTTATACCCGAAGACAAAAACATGCAAAATACATTCCTTTAAAGTGTAATATCATTAAAAATGTACATAAAATGATCATGAAATGTACACTAAAAATATGTAATTTTCAAGTGGATCACTATACATTAGAATTTTCATACAAGTATATATCTCATTGAAGTAATATTGGATTATTGAGTCCACATTATTGATCTCACAAGGAAGGCTGTGATTTACACGTAAGAAAAGTTCTAGCCTACTATAATGAGTCTTAACCTAGAAGTTTAGTTAATCTAAGTTATGTTTGTTAATCCTACTAAACTATCACTTATTCTATAGAATTACTCCTAATTTATTTCTAGTAAAACTAATTAAAATGAGAAAGATTACGATATAAAACCTACCCTTCCCTTGCAATTACATAAGTAATGTGTAGAACAATGGAAAATTTAGAATGGAAATTGTAGTAAGTGGCAAATAGAAGCAAACCTTTTCCTTGCCCTCTTTCAAGTGCAAAAGGAAATTTCGTTCAAACTTGGTTAAAGTTTCCGCCTGTCACCCTCGAAACCCTAATTTGAACCCAACAAGGCCTATTTCCCTATCTATTTGCATTGCCCTATGGACTACTTTTCCTTCACCCAATAGCGCAATGTGGTTTCTCCTAGTTCTTAAAGTCATATCTCTCTCAAGTCATTATGGATTCACACCATATTTTATAATATCACGTGGCCAGAATGATAAGTAAATTTAGAACAAAGTAAAACTATCACTTTAATGATTAAAACCTATTCTAAATATAACCAAATATACTGCACATACTACTAATTTATCACAAGAGAATGGCATAAAGGATCTACTCACAATGAATGAAGAAAATACTACAATTCATCATCTTATAATAACACAAATTCTTAGAAAATGAGTTTACAACTAATACAAGACAATGTAAAATGAAACACTTAACTTTTTCCCTAAGAAAAAAAGTGAAAACTCCCCCCAAGTGATCTCCAAATGTTACTTACACTTATAATAATATTCCTTTACAAAATTCTCTCAAATCTCTCTAAGAAAATGTAGAAAGATGTGAACCCTAGATCTAACCACTCTTTTTATGCTCCCTTAGACTTTCTCTAAGTCTTCCACAATGTTACTTCTCTCCATTTGAACTGCTTTCCCAACTTCTTAACCCCCAAATTAATTCATAGTCAACTACAGAAACTGTCTCAAATAGTTCTGGTGAATAGGCGCTACTAGACTGGCGCCGAGACACCACTCTCTTTGTTTGCATTAATAATGACTGGCGCCTAGGCACCACTGGACTTGCGCCATGGCTCCAAGGAAGTGCGCCTTGATGCCCAAAGCTGTCGCCTAGGCTTGCTCCATTTCACTTTTGTTTTACTCCGTTTTCACTCCAATCATCCTACCTGTTATAGCTGCAATAAAAATACAAAAAAAAAATCTTTCTTTAAAGTGTAATTTCACCAAAAACAAGTGTTAAATGCAAAGGAAATGGAGCATGCTTCAAGACATAATAGGTGTCAAGTTATGACATCGGGCTTCCAACCATTTGCTTATGCTTTCATCTAAGGATCAATCACTACCTTGCCTAGGTTGAGCGCAGAGTTTATGAGCTCTCGGTTTCCACTTTGGGTGTTTGGACGTCTGACACATAATTGGATATAAAGTGAAAAACACGTATAAAAATAACTAATAAAAGCAAAAAAATGATAAAAAATATAAGAAAATAGGAGATAATATCACATATTTCCTACACATCAGTTATATTTTCTAGGACAATAAGTACATAATTAGCCTTATATTATGTCAAATTATAAACTCTAGGTTGAGTTTTAATAGTAATAACTAGAGTAATGGACTCTCATTAACTCTCTCTCCTACCTACCTTCTAGCAAATCCCACTTCTATTAGAAGATCCCTTACTAGAAAAATATTAGCATAACTTTCTATGCTATGTATCGTACCACCGATCTACTCAAATATCTAGTTTACGCTTAAATGCTCTTTGTGAAATATATGCTATCCTATGACTAGACTTACCATAGTTGAACATTCATCCACGAAATAAATAACATCTATCATGATGACTCCTTTCATATGAGTACAAACTGAAGCTCTACTCATAAGAATAAATGAACCTCTAATCTAAAAAGTTATAAAATCTCATTCATAATCATACCACCCAAAATAGCTCATATTTTCACTAACACCACTTATAGGAGACTCATCTTTAAGTCATTCTTAGCTCATGCCCAACTATTGTTGAGTAGACATTAATCATTCTCTATTAATCTTACATTTTCCATTAACTCAATGTAATCTTTGATTTTGAATAGAACAAGTGGGTTCCTAAAACTATCTCTAAGTCCCCACAAAATTTTTAACACTTTTCTTCTAAAGTATTGACTAATTGTGAAGCATAACATGATAGTACAATAAACTTACCCTCATACTCCTTAGTTGTGATGTTCCTCTAAACCAATCTTAAGAAAGCCTCCAGCATCCATTGCCTACTCGACAGAGGTACAAACTAATTTATAAAAGTATCAGTAATTTATTATTTATGGATTTAACTTTTAGTTTAACTTCTCCTTATACCAGCCTAGCCACTAGTGCTTAACATCATCATGAAGTAGAAACACTACTAAAGCAACTTTCTATGGACACTATATGCTATCAATACTTCTCTAATCTCAGTCACCAATCTTCAGCTACTTAAGGTTTAATTACTCTTTAAAATAAGGCAGCTTGAATCTAAATAATAATTACATGTTTTTAGCTCCCACTTGTACTCTTTAAGTGGACATTCTGCTCTAAGCATCACCCATCAATTAGCCTACTAAATTGAGTTATAGAAATTGGCAGTTTAGCTCCTATTATGCTTTATACTACACCAACATTACTGGAGCTTTATCCATTTATCAAATTATGGACTTAAATATTTATGATTTCTCAATAAGTGCAATGACATGCACATGCTACCATTAATGTACATAAGATAATCTTAAACTACTTGAGAGTTTACCACTCATCTAATAATTATATTTATGACTCTAGTTATGAATTAATTCCTTAAAATACTTTGCTTTGTTACCAATAAAGAAACTGTCATTATTTGACACAAACCATTACATCAAGGTGGGCCATGTTGTTCCAAGGTCATATTTCCAAAATTTATTTAAAATTTATTTTCTTATAATTTTCATAAAAAAAGAGTCGCTAATATTATTAAAATATCATAAAATATAAGTATTCAATATCCATTCAGATCATATCGTAAACCATACAACAAAAATAATTATATACAATGATCATAATAAAATCATTCAATCAACAAAAAAACACATATCACCATGATGGTCAAAACAATAGATCTAAAGTAGTGACATTTCTAAATTTAAGCTTTCAACGGTAGTCAATAGACTCTAGTTAACCTGAGTTGTATCTATCCACGAAGTAATATATGTGAATAAAATAAGAATGAGTAGTCAAAGCTAAATAGACTACTTAAAATCTATTATAATGTTAATAAAAAAAAAAGATACTTGCTAAATAAACTAACAGAACATCTCAATATATCACAAGCTATAACTATCAATTATATTACCATTCTAAAAACTAATGTCAAATGTAGGCTTCTATCAAATAACAATGTAAGCAATTAGTTTAAAATAAAGTAAACAATAAAATAAGATAATATGAAATAATAATTTATTATTTTATTAGGCATATTTAATAATTTTTTATTTTTCACTTTTACATCTACTTTTTCATATTTTCTTTTTACTGCTCATATATCTATTTTCACTTATATCTCAACTTTTTCACATCTATTAAGGCATATACATTGCATATTTGGAGAATTATGTAAGTGCAAAAGGATTTAAAACTCTACTTGAACACACAAAAAAGTTCTGCAACCAAACCATCTACATTCTTCCCTGTTTTCTCAAATTTGCTCATATATTTTTAATATAGAATTATAGAAATATCATTAGTTTTAACATATATAAATAGAATCAAATACAATACAAAATTTGTAAATATTAGTTTGTATAACTAACAAAAAAATATGTAGGGTCAATTATTATATAGAGAATAACATTCATAATTCACAAAATTATTTCTATGTAACATTTCAAACAATATTTTGAAGTTTCTATTGTTGTAAAATAAATTGAGTAACCAACGTCCTTTTGGACTCAACAAAAGAAGTGGCGACTTCTAAAGGGGGACACATGAATCACCAAACGGTGATTCATTGTAGGTATTATAAAACAAGCACCATTTTAAAGTACCAATAATCTATATAAACTAATGAGGTGCCCAACTTGAAGTAGGTTACAGTCGACCCGAGTGTTTTTTCATTTGTATGACTCTAGGTGTGATATCTTGAACTTCATCAAATGCTTGGATCCCGCAATCTCCGTGAATTATGCATTTGCCAACCACGAGTATCCTTCTGTCAACACACTTGGATGAGCGAGTGGACTTCTCACCACCGTTGTGGTCGTAAGTCTCATCTAAAGAGTTTGCTCTCTAAAGCGTGGGGCTGGTTGCCTTCAAATGAATTCAAAGCTCACACAAGTGTATTTACCCTCGAGACAACTCCAAAAGCCTTGACTAAAATTCTCTGAATCATCTTTGTGATTGTTTCATTCATCACGGTAAGTTATTTTTGAGTCACAAGCTCTTGATTTTTCATCTATTTCTTAGATTCTTATTTATTTACATATCTAAAACCTAAGCTTTCATATTTAAATATATAGCACTTGATGTCATAAATCTAAGAATAAAATTACACTTTTCACATTCAAAATGTCAGTAATATTAATATTTTAGATACAGAGTTAAGCATTTGATTATAAGATACATAAATAAATAATAATTTATAGGTATGCATGTAATGCTCTAAATTTAAATGGATGATGATATTTCTCTTACTAAAATTATAAATTTGAAGTGACTTGAGAAACGGAAAGCTTCAACAGCTTCTCAATCTTCTTCCCTCCCTCAACAGAACCGTTTGTTGCTTCCCTGCCGTCTCCCCCGAGAGGTGACGGCTATTTTTGACGCGATAAACCGTTCCTCTTCTCGATATCTCTTTCTCACCAATCCATTCGGTTTCCATTTTCCTTAAAATGGCGTTCTTCGCTCGGTTGGTTACTGGCCATTCAATCGCGGCCTCACCAGATTCCCAGAACTTGCTTGATTTGAATTTGAGGTACCTAAATTCGCATTCCCTTATTAATTTATCCAACTCTCAGTTATATTTACAACCCTTCGGGATTATGGTTTTGAGGGTTTGCGTGAATTGGAGAAGCCCTAGTCGGAAACACCGAAGGTTGCAGCAGCTGGATTATGCATGAGTGAATCCAAATCTTCCAAGATTAATTTAAGATTGGTGATAATTGTTCGTTTCTTCTTCTCACTTTTTGTTATTATTGGAGGTACCGTTTTTTTATCTTTTTTTTTATTTTTTATGATGGATGAAGCCTGTTGCTGCTTTTCTTATCAGTGCTTGATCTGCCTTTATCGTTTTTCTATTTTATATAGTTTGTATTGTTGCTGTGAATCGCGTGGAGTTTTAAGAAGGTAGAAGCTTAAAGTTAGGGAAAATTTACATACCACACAATTCTCATGTATTTACATATCTAACACAGTTTGATACCTACACTTGTAATGTTTTGGTGTCATAAATCTATGCTTGAAAAGTGTATTCCACTCTTAAAAGATAATGATGATGATATTTTTGATGTGATATTATTGTTACAAATTTGAATGGTATGTATGTCAATATGAATATTTAGATATTATATATGTAAAAACATAATAATTTGATTGACTAAATGTAGCGCATTTGATGTTACTGCTAATTCTAGGCTTGGCCGGTCTCATTTCGTTTTCTATTTGCGATGGTGTTGTGGAAGTGTCGCTGAATTTAGGATGAAGTGTGAATTTGGACATAATATTGCTCCGCATTTTGGGGCCATGTGGATGTATTGTCGGATTCATAGAAGACTTGGGCTATAAAAACACTTGGTCGTGTTATGATATATACTTAGCTCTAGTTTAGCTTATTTTTACTTACTCATAAACCTAACAAGCCAAATATGAGTTTGGCCTTATTAGATCATGTTTAAGTCGAAATAAACTCAATTATAATTAGGGGTGATTACATATTGGGCACTCAAAACATTGCTATTTACAAATCAAACACCCTTATTCATCCATTTTTTCAATTCTCACTCAAATATCAAAGGTCGTGATATATCAAAGGTCCCATATTTTTCATTTTTATCAAATTCACAATAGTTTGATCGTGACAAGCAGAAATACATCCGTTTCATAGTTCAAAAAAGTCACCTTGGTGCTTGATCTGTAAATATCAATATTTCTTATGCTCTGTATGTGATTATCCATATACTTAAATTTCGTTGTGTATATTTTTTTTGTATGGGTTCATGTATTTCCTTCAATAGTACTTTTCCCTTTTTTGAAATAAAAAAGTTAGTGCTACGGTCCTCTACTATTTGATCCAATTGACAAAGGAAGAGCCTTGACTCTCATATGTCCTTGGTTCGACCTCTTGCTAGCGCATTGTTTTTCTTAAGAAAGCTCAGTGGGGATAACTTCTCAATCTTTCTCAAAATGCACCCTTTTGTTGAGTGCCCTAATAGGTTCATTTGGTTGTTATCCTACAAAGCTTTTTCCTGTTACTCCTACGTTGGGCCTCGTGCTTATTGTCTCTATGGTTTATTTTTTTATTTTTTGGGTCTCCATCCATTGCTCTAGCCATAACTTATATCTAACTTGCATCTAATCTGGCCCATCCTCCAAAACCAGAGTGAGTTCAATAGTCAGCCCCTAACGTTACATGATATTTCACTTTTGTCAAATCTATAGAGATTTTACAAGCTCTCTATCTCAGATTACCCCTACTAGCCTTCCAGTTCCCTGGTACTACAAAATGGTCTCACACTTACCTAATTGTAACTTATATAAAAGTCTAATCTTGGATCAGGAAAGCCCCTGCCGTGCTTTTGATTTTCATACTCATCATCTTGAAGGAAGCTCCTCATACTTTGCCATTTGAACATGAAGTCTGTATTTTAGTGAAAGTAAGGTCATGATGTGATTCTAGCTCAAAAATTGATCAAATGCATTTGAGTTATTGGTTTGTCAAACCCAACTGTGTTCATTGAATCACACGTTCAACAATCCTTTAGAGACAGTCTAGAAGTGCCACATATGGTTGCCTCATACTTTCTCTCTGGTGGACCCAACCGGGTATAAACGAAATGGATAAAAAGTTAAGACTTCTTCTACAGACTATGCCACCCATTACTAATGAGGAAAGTAGCATCCATGCACTTGCAAGCACCTACAATGTCATGATTTCTTGACTTTTTTTCGGAGTTCAATGAGGAGTTCAATGAATTCCTGCCCCTCCAAAGAAAGTGGTAGAATTATGGATACTTTTTTGCCAGTTGGATCAGAGAATTTATTGAGGAAATATGATATGAAATTCTCATAAATTGTATAATTATATAGTCAAAGAGAATACACCATGCCTGAATTTATCCCAAGTGCTACTAATGTGGCTACTAAACTATTTCATTGGAAACCACCAATCTAGAATAAAAATTCCCTAAAAACTCTACTAGTGCAAGATGAACACTTTTTGTTCGTTAGACTAACTTTTCATTATAAAATATGGGTGTTATACACTATTCTTCTCAAGCAATATCAAATTATTGTGACATTTTTTTGTGTATAAGCTTGTTTTCTTAGAATATGATGTTTTCTTGGTGAAAATTGTTGCTTTTGATTTGCAGATAGGGTAGTGCATGAACAACTCAAACTCGACTTGATTAATACTTAATTAAATTTGTTCAATCTGGTAAATAAGGAAGTTTGAACGATTTTTAAGAACTAAAATATTAAATAAATCAAACATAAACATGGTCCTAGTTATTTATTATGTTTATGAATAAACTCAGTTTATTGTTCAATAGGAAATTTATTAATGCACTATAATAAATTCGATGATAGCTCATATTGTATATCATATATATTCAAATAAAATTTGATTTCCTAGAAGTTATTTAAATTTATATGTAGTAGTAACATATTATACTTTAACAACAATATGCATATTAATTCAATGCAATTTTTTTTTCTTTCAATGAAATTGTTTTTTAGTATTCATTTATATTATTTGATTGCAAAAAAGCTTATTTTGTTACTTATATATTATCTTATTTAATTAGTATAAACTAGTTGAATACTAATTCAAAATTTATTTGTTTGTTGTTTTGTTTTGACTTATAAAAACATTTGTTAGCAATCTTATATGATAAGCCATGTACTCTCTCAAAATTTAACTCTTTTATTAATTTGGTAGAATATTCACCAATTCATATAAATAACTCAAATGCAAGCTAAGTACACTTATTTAAAAATACAAATAAGTCAAGTATGAACATATATGTGAAAACTTGGCTCGAGCTCGAGTCAAACGTGAACAACATATAAGGTAACCAAGTCAAGTCCAATCCATGACATACTCAGCTTGACTCGACTCAATTATATCTCTATTTGTTAAATTGACAAATCATGTGTTGATCGACAATTCGCTCTATAGCAACTTTTCATGTTTATGTTTGCGTGCATGCGTGTTGTGGAGTGTGTGTGTGATTATTGCCAAATGTAATCATAATGTCTTAGGGTGTTTACTTAATGATCTAAGTCAACAACAATTGAGCTTATTTAAGCTCAAGTTGTTTACACTACTAGATAAATGGGACTTTGACATTTCACCACCAATTAAGGATATTGATTAAAATGGAAAATGTATTAAATAACCAAACAAATAAACAAAATCTCATAACAAGTTTTGTGATTTTGAGCAAGATCATGCGTGAGTTGAGCAAAATCATTTGAGCGTTTCCGACTCCTTATTAAAAAGAATGAATAAAAAATAAATGATGATGAACACTTCAAATTTTCATCATATCATTCAAATCAGAGACATTATTATCTGGATGGTATATTCAAAACAATGCTTTGTCATCCCATCGACTAAATGATCATTTGGTTGTTCACTGAGTTTGTAGTGTTGTAAGTCAATCTTTATCTTTAGAGATAGTGTGGTTACCTCTAAGGTTTGCACGGCTGAGCTTAAACATGACAACAAATGAAAATAACATTTGACTACTTTAATGTGCATAACATATCATAAGATTGATATAATATGAAAATAACGGCTAGTTTTCTTGAACATATAAATGATTTCAACATAGTAGATTTATTGATGACATAGGATGCTATTGATATTCTCAATATGAAGAAATATCCATTAGGATACAAATAAAAATTCAATATCAACTTAAAAAATTAACTAGCATTATACATAATAATACTTCGCTTCCTATATTATAGATTGAGTATGTTACTACAACTAGTTGATAAACATTGAAATGAATTTTCTTGTACTTGTCATCCCCAAAAAAATCTTTGTTTTTGGTATGCATTCAACAAAACATCAATTATATCAAATTATAAAAATTTCTTAACATACCAACTAACATTTAAAAGAGCAATAATTTCATTGTTTATCTCAAAAATATCTTATAAAAATCTTGAAGCTCATCAACTTTAAACTAAGATCAATAGATATGGAAAAAAAAACAAAAATAAACTGAATTTACATTAACAAAATCAAGCTCTACCCTATGATGCACCGACATTTCATTATAAGTAGTCGTGCAGTGTCCGACACGTGTCAGACACGACATGAGTGCAACACACGTCCAACACATTTAAGAAAAAAACAGAAAATTTTTGGATGCATATGTCCTTCAAAATTTAATTTAATTTTAAGTATCAAAATGTAAAACAAAATATTAGATTTTGATGATTTTTGTTTTACCAAATAACTTATGCCTATTTTAATGCAATTTTCTAATAAAAATATTGATGATCATAATTTTTTTATTTTTTATTTAATTGTGGCTATTATTTTTTATGTAAAATCCAATATTTTTTATTGTAAATAATATTTTTCATAAAGTTTTTAGTTTTTTTTGTCTCCTATAATGATTTATAAATAATATGGATAATCATTTGTTTTTTTTAGTTATTAAATATCATTTTTTTATGTTTATAATGTTAAAATTTTTTGTTTATTTTATATTAATTTAATTTATGTAATTAAGATATAATATTTTAAAATTTATTGTCATTAATATATATATATAAGTATTTAGTAAGAAATATTCTAGATTCAAATTCAAAATCATTCAAGACCTTGATTTCAGTAAGTTTATGGTTGAACTGACTGTCTCCACAAGATGAATTCGGTAATACCAAAAATGACATGACATGAGTCCCACGAGTCATTAAAGCACATTTAAAGGTTTTGGAATGTCAATTGAACTCCAAATTT